TTTTTCATTCGGTTTTTCCAGTTACGAGTCCTTTTTTTAAAGCTGATCGTTTTGTGTTCATTTTGTTTATTCTTTTTTCGTAATAGATTTAATGTTTAGTATAGAGCTTTGAAAAAAATTGCAGTGTGAGATAGGCAAGAAGTAAGGCATGTAGCAACATAAGCACGGCAAAGGGCACTCCTTTAAAGGCGAGGAAGAACAAAAATATTTTAAGTCAAGTGATAGCGATTGCTGTATGAGTCGTTCGATTTTTGAATCAATCACCGGGCAATGCCGGGCCATGCTGCTAGTATATATATATATGTACACACACACACACACACATTTTTTAATAACTCTTTTCATGCCACAGCTTCTCTTCAGTATTCTTCTAGTGATGTAGAAATCATAAGTATTCAATGGTGAATAGAATGTTGTTTACTTTAATATTCAGAAGGTATTAAATATAAACAATTAAAGGCAAGAAATGGTTTTGATATTTTAAGTACAATGCATTTGCAAAATAACTTAAATATTCCTTGCATTTTTTGTCATTACTGGCAAATTAATTTATTCTTCATGTCTGGTTAATAAGTATAGAATTTAGTAAGCTTTAAACATACAAGCAAATCATCGGTCATCATCTAGTGAACTTTCTATCAATTAATTTATAATGAATATGTACCTAATGTGTTTTTTCTGATTGAGCAACTGAATCTATTTTAACTTTAGATACAATGCTATTTAAACTATTTACATGTGGACTATTGTCTTGGGACAATAAGCAGGTGGATTAAAGCATTAGTTTATGCATTTCATGACATAGTAATTGTGAGTTCAATCTCTAGGCTGGGCAATGTGTATTTAGACTTAGTGGAAACAGGGTGAACAATAACTGAGCTGCACTAAAAATAAGAACTAAACATAGATTAAATAAAGCGTTCAGTTTGGAATTCCTTCTAGGTTACCCGGATTGACAGATACCTGATGAAGGTTGGAGAGCACAACAGTTGAAATGTTGTGATAACAACAATAAAAATGAGGACAATAGTTGGCATGTAAATAGTGTAACTAATAATAATTTATCATCCCAGAAATTCAGACAGGAAATACAATGTTGCTAAGTTCTTGGACTGGATATTCTGTGGGTGTACCATTCAATGAAATTGTATGTGCAACTAATTCTCCTTAGTGCACCACTGCCATAACTGCATTTCTATATTTCATGATCTTTATTGCATATCAATCATGTTTTTAGTAAAATAAGTTGACTAAATCAAGGAGAATGAAAGATATACAAGTCTATTCTAAAGCACAATTGAAATAAGTTCAATTAAAATCTTTCTCTTGCTGTAATTGCAATGAAAAGATATTGAACATTTAAAATTCCTAGTTTCCAAATGATGTTTTTTGACCATGGAGCCATTTCATTGAGAGTTAATAAATATCTTAGTCCGGTCATCAGGTTGTCTGGATTCTATGTAACATGGCAGTTACTAACATTTCCTGTCTGCTTACTTGACACCTTTTAATTCGTTTGTCTTGTAAACAAGAAGTAACTTTTATTACAAGTTTGATAAACAAGTTTAATATACATGAAACCCATCATCAAACACTGACTATCTGACTTAATCTGACTCATTTAACATGTATTTTTTTTTCATTTAAAAATGGATCCATTTGCAATCATGAAGAACTAATCTAGTAGAACAAAACTCTTGTAAAGAAATGAAGACAAGAGATTTTGATTCAATGTGATTACAAAAATTATTGTATGAAAAAGCCCCTTTTTTCTCTTAATAATAAACCCCTTATAATAAGTGTAATTATATATTGAATAATAATTTATTACTGAATGTAATCTTCTACAAAAAAAAACCCAAAAATAATCGGAAGTATATCAACAGTAACATTGCAGAAATCAGTATGAATACAATGAGAGGTGTTAGGGTATTAGAAATGAATTTGTTGTCACTTAAGAGGCATATTTTTCTAGGCCAGTTGACATTAATTTTACTGTTTAAAAAAAATCGATAAATCAAATTTCTATTCAAATATGTACCCACTAAATATAATGTTTATAACAATAGTTAATGTTGGATAAAAGATTTCTTAAGAAAATGAATTACCCTATATACGTATATATATATATATATATATATATATATATATATATATATATGTATATATGTCAACATCATGTATACTACAACCGTTAAATATTTTTGCATGAACCACTCCAGAAAAATTTACCTGTGTATAGTGTAACCGGTTACCAAAAATGCATCATTTTTAACTGCTTCATTAAAATTATCTGTGTATAGTGTGACTCTCTATATTGTGGGTTAAAAAAATTGATCATAAAAATTCCCACTACACGTGAGTGTATATGGTACTCTTTTCATAAATGAAATGTGAAGTAAGCTAGTAGATAGACTTTGAATTGTCCCAACGAGGAAAGTGCATTTCTTTTTGTGATAATGGCTTCTCGTGATCTGATTGTTAAAAGGCAAATGGCTCAAAAGTGATTTCCTTGATGGAAAAAGGGAATACAAATTCAGTTCCTGTCAGGACACTTATTTTATTTAGTAGGACTGCTTAATCTCTAGGCCAGATGACAGCAATTCCTTCACCTGTTTTCTTTTCTTTTTTCTTTTCTTTTACCTGCTCAAACATGTGTACCTACTAAATGTGACATGCATATATAAAGATTGTCTAAAAAGTAAGGAGACCTATTTTGAACGTGTGGAGGCTCTCAAGAGGGCCATAACAATGGAGCTGAGGGATATTCCAGAAGAAACCTTCCAACAGTGCATAGAAGAGAAGGATGGAAAAGTGCATTAGACTTGAGGAGGATTACTTTGAGGGGGAAACTGTGTAGTTTGTTGTTTGAAATTGAATTAAATTGTTTGTGACACCAGTCCCATTACTTTTCAAACAGACCTCATATATATATATATATATATATATATGATATGGCAGAAATATGTCCCACATAATTGTGAGACATTAGGACATAGCTAGATGAATACACCATTGCCACTGGTGTCTTACCATTATCTGAGAGATATTTCTGGAAGGTATTTCACTTCTGCTTCCACCTGTGTGTACACACACACACACACATATATATAGGCATGTAGTAGTGTGGCCACTCTCACCACTACCTGCCTATCCAGACGACTTATGTTACACCTATCCAACCACAGCTCTATTAGAACCCATTCAAACATGCATACAAACTTACCAGACTACATCTGATACATAAAAAATACAAGCATAACTTCATCCACATGTAAAAAGATTAAAAATAATGGAGGCACTAATAATAAAAAAGTAAAAGCCAACACTCAATAACATTGACTATGAACACAGCCACAATATGCTGACCGTGTTCAGAAATAAAACATCCCCTTAACTCTAGATACATACAAAAACCCATATACCCAGTTAAAAAGTAAAAATAAAATCATCCTTGATAATGGTTAAAAGTTTAGCTGAAAGTGCTTAGAATTGCAAAGCATTTGGACAGTTTCTACACACTCTGTGTCCAGAAAAGAAAACACTTATTCAACACAAGAAAAATTAAGTAAAAAGCTTAAACACATTACTGTGTCTGTCATCTTTAATGAAACATGTATAAAAGAGGGATTGCTGCCTAAATGCACAAATATATATAATGTGTGTGTAGAAATTTGAATAAAATTAAAAATATATCTGTAAAAGGACAATATGAATAAAATCAAAAAGAAAACTTGGACAATAAAACGTGAAACTTATCTTAGAGGATGAAACATGTTGGCTATGATAACTTTTCCTTTTGTTTTTATACACACACATGCATGTACATGTGTGTAATAGAGCTTCTAGGCATCTATTACTGTAAAACTGCTAATTATTGTCTACTTTGTGTCTTATAACTTCCCAAATGGCTGGATACTGGAGCCTGAAAATTAATTTATAAGTGAAATTTGAATTGTAAATAAACTTGAGATTAAGTCACTAGAATTTAGGGTAAAATCTAATTTCTGTCCCGATTGCAAAAAGAGACAGATTTTTATATGATGCTGCATGAACTTGAAGCACCCTAATTGCAAATAGGAGTTTATGGCGGCATTTAGTTATTTCTAAAAAGAAAAAAAAATAAGTAGAGGCGCCATTGTCCAAGCAATTAGCATTGAAAACATAAGTGATGAGACAAATTGAAGCTCCAATTAAGATAATTGTTGTTCATTTTGTACTAATGCCTTTGGGAAAGGCATGACTTGGAATAAATGATGCAATTGGAATTTTTTTTAAAGTTCTTGATTAAAAAGAATTTGCAGACAATAATTATGTAAACTAGTACAGGATTTTGGAAAGAGTTTCTTTTTCGTGTTTTTTCGGACAAAAATTTTTTTTCAAAATGTAAGAATAGAATTTTATTTAAGGTACTTTGTTTTTGCCAATTATTAAAAGGCTGAAATAGAATTATTTTTTTTGAATTGTTTGGAAGAAACATTTAGATTCATTCTTGGAGTAGTTGAATATTGTTGGTCTCTTTTTAAAGCAATTGATACAAAATATATGAACCTTACAAACCTGACCAATGCCAAGTACAGCTGCTAGTTTCATATAACCCCTGAGTAATTTTGGTTCTATAATCTGCTTATGTTACTATTATATTAAGATTTTCTTGTTACTAATTGTTAATTAAACAAATCCTGGCTCACTTTTGTTGTCTCTGACTACTTATCTATTGTTATAAGGAGTTATATGTTGATCTATTGTATTAATGGCTAGATATTATATCAACGTCTCCAGCTGTCATATTTCAATTTTGGATAATACCTATGTGTGATGCAGATTATTTTATTTGTAAGGTTTGCAACGATATTTGCAATACAACTGTAACTCATCAGGGCCCTTAACTGCTTCCGACATATTTCATGAACCCTTAAACATAATACCAAGTTATTGGACATTCATTGTAATATTTATATAATTTTTTTTCAATTTTATATAGTTCATTAAACATGTGCATGTTTCCTTTTCTCACATTAAAAATGTGCATCTTTCCTTTTCTCTCATTAAATATGTGCATCTTTCCTTTTCTCTCATTAAATATGTGTCTTTCCTTTTCTCTCATTAAATATGTGTGTCTTTCCTTTTCTCTCATTAAATATGTGCATCTTTCCTTTTCTCTCATTAAATATGTGCGTCTTCCCTTTTCTCTCATTAAGTATGTGCGTCTTCCCTTTTCTCTCATTAAGTATGTGCGTCTTCCCTTTGCTTTCATTAAGTATGTGCATCTTTTTTTTTTTTTTTAATCAATGCACTCCAAGCAAGGTGGTGATGTCTCTAGTACACAGGAGGTTAGAGGGAATGAAAGTGAATAGGAAGACTGAGAATAGGGAAGATTGAGGAAAAGATAAAAAATGAATGGGATTCAAGAAGAAAGAAGATGGTGATTGACATTGCATTTAAATTTTTTTCCATGGGTTGGAAGTGCAAGAAAAGAAACTGTTGGAGTAGAAGTGATGATTGCATATTGCTATTTCAACAGTAATAGGGTGAGACCTAGATGCCAATCTAGTAGCAGGCTTAAATTCATTTACTTGGGACACCTGGAGAAAAAGCTCATCATAGCAGAGTTGCTAGGAAAATATTTGTAGAAAAGACAGAGGGAAGCCATGTTATATCAGTGAGAAAGTGACTGAAGTTGAGATGTCTCGTCAGGTTTGATTACATTACAGATTCTTGACCTTATATCTCATTAAATATGCACATCTTAGCTTCTGTCTGATTAAATATGCACACCTTGCTGTCTATCTCATTAGATATGTGCATTTTACCTTTTGTCTCATTAAATATGCGCATATTACCTTCTGTCTTATTAAATAAACTAGTAGGCAAATCTTTGTTCCTTATTTTAATGTCTGTTGGATTTAATCCATATTTTCAACTCTCCTCAGTAAATTTTGTAATTTTTGCAGCTAATTCCATTGTACACTCAGATATTACATGGGATATTGAACTCTCAGATACTTGGTGAGGTTGTACAATAGACACTACTATAACCAGAAATAAACATTTCCTTCAATATTTTTTTTTTTTAATTTTTATCATGCAAGATCATAAATTTTTATCACCCTAGATCATAAATATTTTTTTTTTTTCTTTTCTTAAATTTTATAAAAGTTAATAGTTTGTTATGTAAATTCATTCTCCTACAGAAGCAAATGTGCTCATACAACATGATTTCTTAACCCTAGAACAGTAACCATCAGTTAAAGTTACACCACTACTAACCATGGGTATATCATACCGGATTGAAAATTGTAATTAAAAATAGGAAAATTTGCGCTGGGTAATATATACCCATGGTTAGTGTTCTAGGGTTAAACTATCAGCAAATCCTCTTGATCTATGGATTTAAGTGTTGGTGTATTGTAGGGGTGTGTGTTCACATATGAACAATTAAAGAAGAAGCAACAAAAACATCATTTTTACTATAGGAAGTTTATTCTTTTTTTTCTTTATAGAAGCTGTAGTAAAACAAAATTCTCAGTGTCTCTTTCATATGTCCATTTCTTTTTCTGGTCCAGAAGTAAGTTAAGGTAAGTGGTGATAAGAATGTTTATAATGGTCAACCTCAAGTCAGCTTTGCGCTGAGTTGAAATGATCAAAGTAATGGTTGTACTTACTTCATCAATTGTATATGCAAAATACGTTTGGATGCCATGCATTGAAAAGTGGAAAGATTGCATGGTTCTGTCCTTTTCAGAAGTGGGGCCATAAAATTGTGCTGATGACCAAAACCATTTCTGGTTCCTTTACTAATAGCATCATGGTATTTCTTTTTCTTTTTTATTCTTTATTATTTTATTTATTAATTTTATTACACTTTCCTATAAACCCTTTTAAAAAGGAAGGTAGTTTATTATTTTAATCAATTTAATGTTTGGTGTTGTGGAGTAGCTGAACACTCCTACAAGATGGACTGATCTAAAATTATTTAGACAGCACTCTCTCTTACTAAGGAAGAGGAGTTAACCGTTAGCTGTTTATTACATTAGTCTTTGTTCTCAACTGTATGCCATATTATTCTCTGGAATAAACTGCTTCTTTCTATTTATATGTGTGTCAACCTTTCCTATTTATGACCCAACTGTTAGCGATATAACTTTCAGGTTTACTGTATTTCCTGGCATCACAATTTTGACTTTCAAAATCTTAAAGGAAGATTAAAAACAAAAATCATGTCACAAGTCCTGTATCCCACTAGGATTGTAGAGACACTAAATGTAGTGCGGACATAGCAGTGGTGTATCTAGGGCAAGACAGCCTGATAGTGCCAATAATTAATTAAATTAAAACAAAAATATAAGATAAATAAACCAGTACATTTAGATTACAATAAATATTGATTAATAATAATTTTGGCAGAGAAGATAATGACTTATCTGGTTGTCACCTGTTAAAGCTTGCAATTTTGTATTTAAAAATTTGTCACTGTCTTTGATTGCAAATTACTATCAGTACATTTAATGCTTGTGGACTTGTGAAAAAAGAAAAACAGGAATTTTTGGCCTGTGACATTGAACTATGTTACCTCCAAGAAACCAAAATCAAATAAGGTCTTGGTGCTAATAGTTTTGGAATCGCACAGTAAAAATTGTGAAAATGGTCTTGTCATCAGTATCAAATGAAAGAATAAAATCCTTAGATATAAGGCAAACAGGCATAATATACACACATTGAATAACCACATTAAAAGAATTATCAATAAAATTCCATCATTTCCTGTAAAAATTTTGAAGCGCTTGTAAGACGTGCAGCATTTTTGTAAGTTAGCAAAAGACAGGAAGGTTTGGAAAGGACTGATAGGAGATATTTAAGTTGCTGAAGAGGAGAAATCACACTGAATTATAATGTGCCTTCAAGTTGAAACAGTTCTGATGATGGGGAATAATATATTTTTTCTTTTTTAATCAATTCACCCAAGCAAGGAGATAATGCTACTAAGATACAATGAGCTACTTAGAGTGAAAGAGTATGAAAAAAAGCTTTAGAAGGAACCAGAAATCTAATCTTACAGAGTTTGTGTAACCTATGATAAATCTAGTCACAGTTTAATGTAAAATATGTTTTATATTTGCCAAAAATCAAACCTATAAAAATATTTAAATTTATGATTAAGTAATTTTAGAACAAACAAATAAATAATTGATAAGTTTGAATATTACTAATTATATGATACTTAGAAATTTGTAATAATGGTGAAATTTTATATAAATTAATTAGTTCTAAATTTAGATCTTGTGTTGTTGTGTTTGTAACAAAACTCTAGCATGTTAAGAATTTGAAATTTACAAATTAAAATTAGCATTTGTTTACTCAAAGCATATAAATATGGGATCTGATAATAAGTTCAATAGATTTATCAAACATCTAGCCCTGGTGATCATTGTGAAAGTCTTGTGTTGGTTAACCATATAATTCACTTAAGCATTTCTTAATTGAATATTATAGCTCTAGTTATCTGTTGAGAGCTTTTTGGCTGAAGTTCTGCTAGTCTCAAAAAACAATGTAAAATTCTTGTAATTTTTGCATATTTTCTCAATAGTATTATTATTATTATCGCTATTATTATTATTATATGTAATTATAAAGTATTGATACTGACATTCAATAAATTCTACATATGATATCATTTGTTATGCCAGCAGTTAGTACACTTATAATTAATAGCAAATGATTTTACAGACTTATAGATTTATAAATTTTCAGACTCGAGACTAATTTTTTTCCACTATTGTCCTGGAACCATTCGGAAAAACATAATAAACACTATTATCCTCTTTTTCTCCCCCCAGCTATAGGTAAATAACAAGACAGATCTATAGCCTTGGATGGCAACTGGTCTACTACAGAAAGAAATGGCAACCAACTGCAGGAAAAAAAATCTGCCTCATCAGTCATCTATCGGAAGATACATGATTGCCTAAGAATGTATCACGCATGGCACTGACTGATTATATAGTCTAAAAAATAAACTGAAAATGCTAAGATATTAAGGTTTTAAAAATGAATAAATTCAAAACAGATTAAAATTTAACTGTAATTTTTAACAAAATTACAACTTTTTTGTTTTATTTAATCATTTCAGTTAAATCACTTGTTCTTAATTTTCATGCTCAGTGTAACTTTTATGATATACTTTAATTAAGAATTCTGTTCTTTGCATTCTTTTTCTATATAAAAAATATTAGTGCATTTCAATTATTCACAATCAAAAAATATTTTTAATCTTTATCAAAAACTTTTCATTGATAATTACCTATTTTCTGTCATGACTAAATTTTCCATATTTATCATTTTTTTTTTTTTTAAATTCTCCCTTCTATTTTCAATTTAGTTTCTGATAAGCAGGAAACATTACACATAAATATTGTTACAGATCAAACTTTTGACAATTTGTAACAACAAATAAATTTCAAAAGTATGTTAAGAACTTGCAGCTGTGCTTAAGCCTGCTCCCACCAAAAACAAAATGGATGTATATATGCATACATTATGTACCTGGCAGTTTAGTGAGCTGGTCACTTGCCATTACAACAGAGGAATGCTACAAAAGAGATAAAGCATCCCCCACCAAAAGGACCCTTGTCTTTTGTGGTATTGACTACCAGCAAATGATTGTCATCTCTTGAGATATGCAACACTGTAAATAGGTAGTAGAGGTTGTGGAGGTGCCTTCTTGACATCTGAAGATTTTTCTAGATGTCCAATCTCATTAAGTCAGAGTGAAGGAGAGGAGGCAACAATATAAACATGGCACTCCTAAACACTAATCTTATGTCAACTCTGGAAAAAAAAAAAAAAACCTGTCTTGTGTGGGTCTTGATAAATACTGGCAAGCCTAAGACATTGAGCCGCCTCTTGGATTCTTGTTCACAGAGTAAAGACATGAAATGTTGTGTGTATGTGTTAGAAATTTTAAAATTTCTGCTTACAAATTTTTTTTTTTTTTAAATTTTTTGTTGGGAAGGGGTATTACTAATAAGGTTGAATATGTTACTTAGCCACATTTATTCTCTGTCTATATTTCTGAGATGAGGTATTATGTAAACTATTTACATTATTTGGACTATTTTCCTCATTTTTGTTGCCATATTTATTACAACTTTTTGGCCGTTATATGCTCCGGCCTTCTTCAGCATCTGTCTATATTTCTAAGATGAGGTATTATGTACATTATTTACATTATTCG